GCCTCCCACTTGGGGTTGAGCACTGTGGAGATGAAACTCAGGTCAAAGTCGTTTTCTTCCATTAAGGCCCGGGTATGTTTATCTCTCTCCTCCTCCACACAACTTGAGCAGCAGTCACCTCTACCCTGATTGGGGCCAAGCCTAACTTGCTTTGCTGAGGCAAATTACCTTAACATTGAGTTTATATATTTAATAGGCCACTGAATGGATTGCAAAATATTATGAGGATTTGAACTATCACCCAATGCCTCTGAACACAGAGAAGTCTTAAATCCAGTTTTGAGAACCTTGAGACCATCCTTCTCCAACATGGCAAATATAATCCTTCTTGAAGTCAAATTCTCTGTCCCTGCATAGCCCACCATCTCACCCTCCTACTGTTGCTTTCCCTGCTACAGTGAAAACCCATTCCACTGTGGACAAACAATTCTCCTTCTGCAAGTATAGTCCTGGTTGCTCTCTCTACATCCTGGCCTTGACAGCGACCTGGCTTCCCCGTCACTCCACTTCCCTCGTGGTTCTTCCTGTCTCTCAAATACAGGCTGTTCATTTATCACTTTCTATGAACTTCAGGGCCAGGTAAGGTCTCAGCATTTTCCTGTTTCCAAACCATAATTCCTTCAGCTTCACATCTATAAAATGCCTCCTTTGAGGTTTACACTGCTTTCTGGTTGCTATTACCAACAATCTGCCCAGTTGCTTGTCCACATTCTATGAGCTCTCTGGAACCCAGCCAGGGGTAGTGATGCCTTTTGTGCTCAGAAGGCTAAGTAATCTTACACCTCAGTCTCATAGTATTTGACCTTAACCTGTATTTCAACTCCTTCCTGCCAAGGACACACCCTAAATGGCCTCATCAGTCACAATAACCATCTCATTCCAGGACCATTTACTTTCCTCCTGATCCTTCAGCTCTGACCTTGACATCCTTTCCTTTACCTTCCAGTCTATACCTCAAGATCTCTTCAATTCACTCACACCACTACGCTCATCCTTTTGTTTACTCATCTTGCAAAATCTCAACCCAAGATAAGCCAAACCATTTTACTCTTCACTCTCAATCAAAGCTGTTGAGTTAAGATATAGGAGAGAAGGGGGATCGTTATGGTTGGAGAAACATGTGGGTTGGCTGAGTCAAGTGGGTTGAGGGTACAGCCATGATTGGAAATGTAAATTTGCAGAGAAACAAATTCACATGGTTGTGTGGTTTTCTCTAGTGTCCCAGGGTAGGAATGATATGCACTAATGGCTGGATTTGGGGCTTTGCAGTCCAGGTGAGCAGAATGACAAGACAATGGAGGAACTGAGACAAGACAATGGAGGAACTGAGATTGACTGAAGCAAAAGACCATAGTGTCTAGATTGAAGAGGAAAGGGAATAAAACACATGACAACTTCTGTTGATCCTAGTATGCTATGTCCATCTACCTTCTTTTCCTTTATTTGGGGTGTATGAGAACTTGGCACAGTGTTAAAACCCAGTGCTCAAAAAAAAAAGACTTTAGGTCAGCCTGAGGCAATGGTGGCGAACCTATGACACGAACTCATTTTTTTGGTTGATTTTTCTTTGTTAAATGGCATTTAAATATATAAAATAAATATCAAAAATATAAGTCTTTGTTTTACTATGGTTGCAAATATCAAAAAATTTCTATATGTGACACGGCACCAGAGTTAAGTTAGGGTTTTTCAAAATGCTGACACGCCGAGCTCAAAAGGTTCGCCATCACTGGTAAGGTGACAGGATCAGTACCATCTGTCTTGGACCATTCACCACCACAAAGATGTGACTATAGTGATATGAAACCCAAGGAGACCAAATGTAGTCAGTGGGTAAGGGCCAAGGGCTAGACTTCATTTTTCAGGATAATGAGATATAGCATTAATAGTTAAGAGTGAAGGCCTGGAGGCAGACCAACTAGATTTGTAATTTGGACCTGCCATATATTAACTATAGCAACTGGGTAAATTATTCAACTTCTCTTTTGTTTCTTATCTGTAAAGTGAGGACAATACAAATTTGTACCTCATAGAGCTGTTGTGAGGATTCACTGATGCCATGGGTTATTGTTAATGCTATTGTAATAATACAAAAGCAAGCAGGTTTAATACTTGCCCAGGGCTTTCTAATTTCCACCCGAACCTAGCACCTACCTCAGAAGAACATCAATAACTTATATTACACAAAGTTAACTCAGTCAAAGCTTCTTGATATCTTCCTATGGAATCTTAACTCTAAGATGACTCCATCCCACAGGGAGACCTAGTTCCTATAGATCTTCTCTCTTGGGTGGGTGATTTCATTCACTCCCTGGCTATAAATACCATCCCTATGTGTATCGATCATAAGAAACATCCAAACCTGTAGAGATTTTTATGAGTTTTTTTTGAGCCCAACTGACAATTGCTGAGAAGCAAAATCTCAACAGATTAAGAAAATGCTCTGGAGAACAGCAGTTTTGCAGCTTATTTTATACATTAGATTCAAAGGAGAAGACATAAGGAGGGTTACGTGAGACACACTGATGGTAGATTAGAGAGGAGAGAAAAAGCAAAGCAGGGAAATCTCTGGGATTGGGTAAAAGTAAATGGAGAGACACTTACTTCTTTTACACTGGTGGGTACTGGGTAGGCCTATTAGAGCCTGTTACTTCCCTCCATTGTAGGCTATGACCCACCACCCCTTATTACCAGGTAGTCTCACGTTAGTGTTAACCACTAGCATTGTCCGGTAGATATAATGCGACCAACATAGTGTAATTTTAAGATTTCTAGTGGCATCATTTTAAAAAAGTAAAAAGAAACAGTTTTAATAAATAGTGTAATAATTCAAAATATTATTTTAACAATATAAAATTATTAATATCTTTTTTATAAAGACAATAGACAGACTCACTTAAGGTAAAGATTGACCTTTGTCAAGGACGCTACAGGCCTGCTTTTAGTTAGGAATTTTTATGTTCAGACCATCCTATGTAATTACTTTCAGTCTCTGACTTTTTAAGGCCCACCATGCAGGCCTCCCTGATCTTGTCGGGTTTAGTACGTGAACCCTTTTTCATCCACACGTGGATAACTCCCTAATTTATATTTTATCTGACCTCTCCTATGACCGTCAGTCTCCAAATTTAAAATATATCCAGCTGTCTCCAAATTTATATTTTAAAGTAACTTTAAAATATAATATATTTAAATATGTTTATTTTTATGTTTTAAATAAAACTTTTACACAGGCAACAAAAGAAAAAATAGATAAATTGAACTGCATGAAAATTTAAAACTTCTGCACATAAAAGGACACACAATCAATAGGGTGAAAAGGAACCCATGGAATGGGAGAAAATATTTGCAATTCATATAGCTGATGGGTTTAATGTCTAGAATAAAGAGCTCCTACAACTCAATAACAACTAAACGACTTGAGTTTAAAATGAGCAAAGGACTTGAATAGGCATTTCTCCAAAGAAAATATACAAATTGCCAATAAACACATGAAATTAACCACAACATCACTATCACTAGGGAAATATATATTAAAACTAAAATGAGATAGCACCTCACACTTATTAGGATGGCTACTATTAAAAACATAGAAAAGAACAAGTGCTAGTGAGGATCTGGAAAAACAGAAAACTTTGTGCACTGTTGTTAGAAATATAAAATGGTACAGTCCCAGTAGAAAATAGTATGGCAGTTCCTCAAAAAATTAAACATAGAATTACCATATGACCCAGCAATTCTTCTGAGAAATACCCAAAAGAATTGAAAGCAGGGCCTTGAAGAAATATTTATACACTCATAGCCATAGCAACATTATCCACAACAACCCAGTGTCCATCAACAAATGAATGGATAAACAAACTGTGACATATAGATACAGTGGAATATTATTCAGTGTGAAAAAGGAAGGAAAATTCTGACATTTGCTATAGCACAGATGAACCTTGAGGACATTATGCTGTGAAATAAACCAGTCACAAAAGGACAAGTACTGTATGATCCCAGTTATATAAGGTACCTAGAGTGGTAAAATTCATTGAAACAGAAAACAGAAGGATGATTGCTAGGGGCTGGGAGAAGATGAAAATTGCGCAGTTATTATTGTTCAATGGGTACAGAGTTTCAGTTTTGCAAGATGAAGAGTTCTAGATGGTGGTGATGACTGTACAACAATGCAAATATACTTAATGCCCCTGAACTGTACACTTGTTAGATGATAAATTTCACACTACGTGTCTTTTACCACAATATTTTTTAATTAAAGAAAAATTTTAACTTCCCAAACCTCCACTCCACCCAATTTCCTCCAAGTTGTTTAGTCCAAAAATCCAGGAGTCATTCTTAATTTCCTTCCCTTACCCAACAGTAAGTCATTTACCTTTTGCTTCCAAAATGTATTCTGAATTCATCCATTTATCTCTTTCACAGATACACTCTACTTCAGGCCATTATATGCTCTTGCCTGAGATGCTGCAATCACTTTCTAACACATCAATCTGTTTTCATAATTCTCCACATAGCAGCCAAAGTGCTTCTTTTATAATAGAAATCACACCTTACCCTTTTGTCGAGTAACACTCCCTCCACGTTCTGCGTGGAGTAGGGTTCGGTACCTGAAAGAGGAGCCGCACAGCAAATGAGAGAAAAAGACACGAGATAATTTTGCAATATTGGGGAACCAGGCGGGCAAATCCCGAAGGACTTCCACCCATGCTCAGGCTGCTCCAATCTTTTATTGATCTGGAGTAGCCCTTAGGGTAAGGAAGTTTCAATGACACACAGATCAGCAATTTCCAGGAGTAGACAAAAGTATCTGATTAACAATAATCAACAAGGATCTACATAAGTATCTAAGGAATTAAGGGAACTAAGGTGGGGATGCTTCAACTATTATTACCTAAATTAACTGAGTGGTTCCTAGATTAACTGGGTGGTGCACAGCCCTGACCTTTGCTAGGACTTTCAAGCCCTGACCTTTACTAGGACTTTCAATGGCTACTAGCTTTTGGGGGGGTCTCTGTCTAAACTCAGCTAGTGAAGACAATGAATGGACTCCGGCACCCTTTCTCTGCTTGAACATACCCTGATCGTTTCTCATTGCACCTATAAAATTCAAACTCCTTGCCACTGTCCACAAGGCACTAGATGATCTGGTCTCCATATAAACTGGCCTCCTGCCAATGTCTCTGCCCTTATGTCCCATTACTCTCTTTGATCACTATGTTCTGGTCATGCTGGTCTTCCCTCGGTAGCTCGAAGCGCATGACCTTACCTCACAATCTGTACTTGCTGTTCCTCTGCTTGGCACACTCTCTTCCCAGATCTTCACATGACAGGTTTCTTCTCATTCCTTGCAGCTCAGCTCAGATATCACCTTTTTAAAAAAGTATTCACTCATCATTTAATCTATGGTAGCCACCCCCTGTCACTCTTTATACCTCATCCTTTTTTACCATTCTTTTTTCTTGGCCCCTACCACCACAGGCATACCTCCGTTTATTGAGCTTCACAGATGTTGTGTGTGTGTGTGTGTGTGTGTGTGTTTATACATACAAATGAAGGCAGGACCCTCTACCAGCAAAAAGATTATGACTTGCTTTATTGCAATACTTGTTTTATTGAGATGGTCTTTGAACTGAACCTGCCATAATTCCATGCTATACCTGTATTTGAAATTTGTATTTATTTTTTTCAAATTTATTGTCATCTTCCTTATCCCCCAATTAAAATGTGAGCTTCACATCGATCAGACCGTCAAACCTCAGAGGGAAGGTAGGGGAGGGTGTGGGTAAGGGGGAGAGATCAACCAAAGGACTTATATGCAAGCATATAGGCCTAACCAATGGACACAGACAACAGGGGGGTGAGGGCATGAGTCGGGGAGATGGTGGATAACATGAGGATAAGGACACATATGTAATAACTTAATCAATAAAAAAATGTAAAAAAATAAATAAAATGGACCTAAAAAAATAAAAAATAAAATAAAATGTGAGCTTCAAGAGAATAGGTATCTTGTCTCTTTCCTCAGTTCCTAGAATCCAGAACAGTGTTGGGCAAATAACAGTCTATTTAAATATTTGCTGAATGAATGAATTCAGCAAATATTTGTTTGAATGAATGAGTAAGTAAACAACATTAATAACCCAATTTTCACCCTGGCTGATTTGACTCAGTGGATAGAGCACTGGCCTGTGGACTGAAGGGTCCAGGTTCAATTCTGGTCAAGGGCACATGCCCAGGTCGCAGGCTCAATCCCCAGTAGGGGGCGTGCAGGAGGCAGCCGATCAATGTTTCTCTCTCATCATCGATGTTTCTGTCCCTCTCCCTCTCCCTTCCTCTCTGAAATCAATAAGCAAAACAAAACAAAAAACCAATTTTCTTTCTATGTCATATGCATACATAAAACCCTTTTAGGAAAACTTGTATTTCTACTATTAGCCATCACCAATGTCTTTTCCATCTATTCTAGAGATTGATAACTAGTCTTTATGATGCAAGCAGCATATTTCACATCTCATTTTATGTAGGTATTGCCTTGAAGGGAGCAAGTTTGTATTCCTACTGCAATGTGTAGGTAGCAAAGTTGGTAGCAATGTGTAATTATTTATATGGAATTTTAAAACTTTCCTGTATCTCTTAAATCAAATTGTGGATTTCACATTGGAAATTACACTCATTCAAAGTCAAGGTCTGGACATCTAAGTCCTTAAAAAGCTGTTCAAATGATTTCTTATCTAACTTTTCTAGTCTGGAGAATGTTTCAAGGCCCATTCTCCTCATGGTTAGTTACCTATGTGTCCAGGTCAAAATAGACTGGAGTTAAAATGCAGGATCCTATAACAGTACAAATGTGATTTCTCTGGCCCTTCTATTTGTGCACCTCCAATCTCCCTCAAAGTCAAACCTACAGACCACAGTTGGGCTCATGAATACAGACTTTTCTGTTAATTCTTTTTATTTTTATTTTTGAGATGTGTCTGCAGTAGACACCCGGAAAAGAGCACAAAAGTGCTGCATACCCACTGAAGATGAAGGCCTGCTGTGCCAAGCTCAGCTGCACCTGCTCTGCTGTGCCCCAATTGCTGATATGCATGGGCGATGACATGCCACTACAAATGTGGTCTGATGAGGTGGATAGACTCCTGTTCCTCCACTTTTGGGTCATACTCTGATGTTATGGGACCAAGGCAAATAATGTCTCACAGAGATTTTTAGCAAAAATAGCTATTTCAGATTTTGCTCAAGGTTCCCTTTCCATAAAATCTGTGAGATCAACAGCAGAAACTAGACAGACGCAACTCTACATCATCCTCCACTCGGATGCTGAAGCTATAATATTGGACTTAGTCTGGACTTCTTTGCAAGTTTCCTCTTCCTCAGGCAAGTTAGTCACATAACCTTCAGACTTGTCCAAAACTATGGAGGATGCTTAGTTCATAAGGTGCTTTTTTTTAGGGTCAATAATCAAAATAAAACTAATAATTATAGCTAATATTAATTCCATAATGTTTAATAATTTGTATATTAGTGATGTATTGCTGCATAAAAAATTACCCCCAAATTTAGCAGCTTAAAACAACAAACATATTATCTCTCACAAATTCTGAGGGTCAGGAATGTGGGAGCCTCTTAGCTGGGTAGTTCTGGCTCAAGGTCTCTCATGAGGTTGCAGTCAAGCTATTGGCTGGGGCTGCAGTCATCTAAAGACTCAACTGATGCTGAAGTGGTCACAATCTCGCTCACTTGAGGGTCAAAGGGCCTCAGTTCCTCATTGGCTGCTGGCAGAATTCTTTATTTCTTGCCACTGCCTACACCTCTTACTACATGGCAGCTTGTTTCTCCCAGAAAAAGAGAGAGGAGGGAGGGCATTCAAGATGGAAATCTTTTAAAATATAATCACTGAGCCCAGCTGGTGTTTCTCAGTGGTTGAGCATCGGCCTATGAACCACGAGGTCACGGTTCGATTCCCGGCCAGGGCACATGTTGGGTTTGCAGGCTCAGTCCCCAGTGTGAGGTGTGCTGGAGGCAGCCAATCAATGATTCTCTCTCATCATTGATATTTCTATCTCTCTCTACCTCTCCCTTCCTCTCTGAAATCAATAAAAATGTATTTTAAAAATATGATCACTGAAGTGACAAAACATCATTTCTGCTATATGCTATTGGTCACCAATCCTGGTACAATGTAGGAGGGACAAGTGTATGAATACCAGAAGGCAGGGATCATCTTGGAGAAAAGCTACCACGTCTGCTAGAGTTTTAATCCTTTTAATTTAGGTTTCTAATCCTGAATCTGCTCTGTCATATACGATTTTTTTCTCTTATATATAAAGTATATTTTTTCTCTTACATATAAAGTATATTCTTATATATAAAGTATATTCTTATATATAAAGTATATAAAGTATATATAAGAGAAAACAACCTAATTCAGAATCTGAGGGTTAAAGGGCCTCAGGTAACTGGTTTTCTCAGATACAGAATTCAAGCTCTCTTATAAAAGGTGTAATTTAAATAATGCTAACATTCAGATATGTGGTAATTACTGTCCCACCAAGAACTGGAAGGCACCGTCCAAGGTTGCTGTTTGTTTTGTACATGTGGACAAGACATCTATTATGACAAATGGTTTTTTCCCCTTAAGATCTGCTTCTTCTTTGGTAGCCTATTGAATTATTTTCAGACCCTTTCAGGAGTGCTTTCTGACACACAACTGATATTGCCTAAAATATTTTTTTTCCAATTTGTTTGGTCTTGTCAAAGTGACTCAAAGAGTCTGGGGGCTTTGGCTAGAAATAAATGATGTTTATTCAAAAGTCTTAGAATTTGCAAATGGGAACACAGCTAGGCAAAAAATCCCAGAAGTTCTCCAAAGAAGAAAGGAAAGTTAAAAGTTTTTATAGTAAAAAGTACATTACTGAGAATTACTGGTTGATCCAGGATTGGTCCAGGGCAGTTATCAGTCAGATGTCAGGTGGTCAGGATAATGGATGTCAGATGGTCTGATTAGGAGTCCTTCGGTGTGTAATCAGAGGGGTATCTGAAGGTCTGTTATATGTCCAGGTGTATATCTAGGCATTGACTCAGGACTGAAAAATTCAAAAAGTTTAAGTTTCCAGGCTATTAGAACAAGAATAGACTCATTGCCTAATGCCTTAACCCACTTGATATTAGTAATTTAGCAGATTGACAATATTTCCTCACCCCAATCCTCAATTTGTACACAGGCATTCTTCTCATAGGAGCTTTCATTTATTTTGAAATATTAAAACAATTTTGAGAGTCAATATAAGAAACTAATTTATGATTAAGATGCTTGGTTTTCCTTTTCAGTTAGTTCCAGAAAAGGACTGTTAACTTGAGATAAGATGTTAAAAGGAATTAAGTACATTTCTGAAGGCATAGCAAGTCATCTTCAGGAAGCAGGAATACTGAATAGTAAATGCAAATGAAATGACCAACACCTATGTTAATTTTTATCCTAATGTAAAAAAAAAATTGACTATGCTTTATGGAAATGTTAATATTTCCTTGTGTAAAACGTTGGCAAGGTTAGTGTGGACGAAAAGGGGCCACATGCTAACATGACTAGCTCAAGGAAGGCCTGCATGGCTGCCTTGCAAATTCAAAGACATAAAGTAACTTCAAAGATGGTCTGAAATTTAACTTCTTTTACTAAAAGAGGTTTATGGTGGGTAGTCATGTCAAACTGCCATTCTCCCAAGCATTATCTCAATCTGTTGAGATTCTGCTTCCTGGCAATTGTCGACAGTTTGGCTCAAATAAACGCACAAAAAATTATCACAGGTTTGAATGTTTCTTACATTAACATTACCCTCTCATTCTCTTATCAATTTAGAATGTAATCACTATTGAAGTGTTCACCCAATAGGCTACTTGTTGTTTTTTTTATCCTCACCTGAGGCTATTTTTTTCCATTGAATTTCAGAGAAAGTGGAAAGCAGAGGGAGAGACAGAGAGAGAGAAACATCGATGTGAGAGACACATCGACTGGTTGCCTCCTGAACACGCCCTGACAGATGCCAGGGATTCAGGTACGTGCCCTTGACCAGAATTGAACCTGAGACCCTTCAGTCCACAGGTCGATGCTCTAACCACCAAGCAAACTGGCTAGGGCACCAATAGACTACATTTTAAAATGCACGTTTAGTTCTCTTTCTATTACCCACACCACAGCTGGGCTGTATAGGCTCTTTTAAATCTGCTTTGATGGAATCTCCTGAGTGAGCTCTAATGGCCATCATGTTTGCCTGCAATACCTATATGTAACCAGAACCCAAGTTCTGCTGCCTGCTGCACAAAAACCAAACTCATTGGACAGATGCAGGTGAAAAAAGGAAAGAGGTTTTATTCAAGTGCTGGTCACCTGAGGAGATGGGGAATGCTTGTCACAAAGCCCATCTCAACATCTCAGTGCAGGCAGAGGGTTTTACAAGGAGGGAGAGGCAAAGCAGAACAAAATAATCAAGGGGTGGGGGGAGTTGAAAAGTTGTCTACATGCAGTCCAGCATGGTCCACTCCATTAAGGATCTTGAAACTGGTCAAGTGATAATCCAGTGAGGGTCATCCTGGTCTTGGTCATCTTGATATTATGGTCAGCAATTCTCCTAGAACTGGGATGACTGAAGGTCAAAGTCTGTATCTTCTGAAGTTAGTTCCTAGGATTTTGTTTGTTTGTTTGTTTTGTTAATCCTCACCTCAGGATATTTTTTCCATTGATTTTTTTAGAGAGAGTGGAAGGGAGGGGGAGATAGAGAAACATTGTTGTGAGAGACACACATTGATGTGTTGCCTCCCACATGATCCCTGACCAGGGTTGAGGATGGAGCCTGCAACCGAGGTACATACCCTTGAATAGAATCAAACCTGGATAGAGTGTCTGTGGGCTGACACTCTATCCACTGAGCCAAACTGGCTAGGGCAGTTCCTAGGATTGTTATACAAACATGCTGTTTATCTACAAGCTACATATTAGTCAGAGCCAGCATTTCACAGAAACAGTGGCAAGAGAATGTGGGGTGGGTTACAATTTTCCACTGTTACAGGTCCCCACTGTCAATTTTTCTTCCATTTCCATGAAAGTTAGGAAGTTATAGCCAAAATATTTCAGGAAACTAGAAAAATTCAGGATCCAGTCTAGTTCATAGGTGAGAAATACAATATTATAGACAATGTACTGAACCAGAGCCTAATGTTTATAACTAGAAGCCTGATGCATGAATTCATGCACAGGTGGGGTCCGGCCAGCCCCACCCCTGATGGGGGAAGAGGGGTTGAAGGGTGGGTGCCGGAAGCCGGTCCATCCTTGCTGCTTGACACAGTTGCTGCAGGAAAGAAACATCTGCACAGCATATGTTTCAAGGGACCTGGCATATATAGCATATTGTTCTTAATATGTTTGCTCTCCTTAGCGCCATGTGTTTTAACCAAGGTCACCTCTCCGAGAAAGGTTGTTTCCCCAGGTGGGGATTTTTCCCTGAGGTTAGGGAGGGGATACAACCCCTTAATTAAGTGTCAGGCGGGTAGTTAAGCTACATAATCTTTACTCCCTGGAATGGAGATAAGAAACGCCCTAACCTTTGTAATAGAAATTGACAGGATTAAAATCGGCTGGTATAAATATAGATGTAACAAGACAATAAACATCAGATCCTAATCAGATCCTAACCAGAACTTCGCTGGAGATCCCGACCAGAACTTGGCCAGAGATCGTGGCTGGAGATCCTGGCTAGGCTGCTGATCAACTGAAGGCTGTCTCCGTGTCATTCCTTCTTCGCCGACTCCGTCCACACCTTTGGGGACCCCTGGACCCGCTGGGGTTGGACCCCAACAGGTGGGGGGGGGCGACTGGCCAGCCCTGCCCCCTGATGAAACTCCCGATCGAGGGGACAGTCTGCATATTAGCCTTTTATTATATAGGGTTGTATTATAGATTCCATTGAAATATAATTTTTCTCCTAAAATCACCCTTACTTTTTATCAGGGAGTCAGTCAGCCACAGGCACCCTGGGGAACTCCCTCCAAAGTCCAGGGGCTTACTGGGTGTGGGGGAAGGGGCTCCTGCTCACTCCTGGCTGGCTTGCCAAAACTGTAACCAGAACTCAAGTTCTGTTGCCTGTCACCACAAAAAACAAACTCATTATTAGACAGATGTTGGTGAAAAAAGAAAGAGGAAATGGAGGACTCTTGTCACAAAGCCCATCTCAACATCTCAGTGTAGGCAGAGGTTTTTACAAGGAGGGAGAGGCAAAGCAGAACAAAATAATCAAGGGGAGGGAGTTGAAAAGTTCTCTACCTGCAGTCCAGCACAGTCCATTCCGATATGGATCTTGAAACTGGTCAAGTGTTGGTCCAGTGTGGGTCATCCTGGTCTCAGTCATCCTAGTTCTTTGTTATCCTGGTTTTACGGTTGAAGGTCAGCAATTCTCCTAGAGTTGGGATGACTGAAGGTCAGAGTGTATCTTCTGAAGTTAGTTCCGAGGATTCTTATACAAATACTAGAGGCCCGGTGCACAAAAATTTGTGCACTCGGGGGGCGGGGGATCCCTCAGCCCGGCCTGTGCCTTCTTGCAATCTGGGACCCCTCGGGGGATGTCCACCTGCTGGCTTAGGCCCACTCCCAGGTGGTCGGGCCTAAGCTGGCAGTCAGACATCCCTCTGGCAGCCCAGGAGCCCTCGGGGGATGTCCACTTGCGAGCGGGGAGCAGGCCTAAGCTGCAGTCAGACATCCTAAGCACTGCTGAGGAGGCAGGAGAGGCTCCCGCCACCACCACTGTGCTGGCAGCCGTCAGCCTGGCTTGTGGCTGAGCACAGCTCCCACTGTGGGAGCGCACTGACCACCAAGGGGCAGCTCCTGCATTAAGCGTCTGCCCCCTGGTGGTCAGTGTGTGTCATAGTGACCAGTCATTCCCAGTCGTTCTGCTGTTAGGGTCAATTTGCATATTACCTTTTTATTATAATAGGATGGTGTTTATCTACAAATCACATATTAGTCAGAGTCAGCATTTTACAGAAACAATGTCAAAATAGTGGGTGGATTACAATGTTATTAGCTTTAAAGTCAATCTTCATTCTTTAAGGCTTTTTGGTGACATCCAGAGTCCAGGCATGTGTCTTTCTTTCCAATATGACATTCTAGTCAAGGTCTTGGTTAATAAAACCACAATTGGAAACTGGCCTTATTGAATTCATGCAAAGAAACCTACTGCCATAGCTCACTCATTAAAAATTGCCTAATTCTGGAGGGATCAGGTAGGGAGAAAAATATATAATTTGCCAAATTGCTTTTAAAAATGTCTCTTGCCCTACCGGTGTGGCTTGGTGGTTGAGCATTGACCTATGAGCCAGGAGGTCACAGTTGGATTCCCGGTCAAGGGCACATGCCCAGGTTGTGGGCTCAATCCCCAGTAGGGGGTGTGCAGGAGGCAACCGATCAATGATTCTCATCATTGATGTTTCTATCTTTCCCTCTCCTTCTCCCTTCCTCTCTGAAATCAATAAAAATAATATTTTTTTAAAAGCCAAAGTAGGACAAAGATTACCATGGGGAGGTAGGGATTACAGGTTGGGGTGGGACTCCATTGTTTGGGCAACAAGGTTTTTCATCTTTCCATGATACTAGGAAGTTTTTAGGAATGAGAATAGACCACATTCCAAGGTTGACTTCCAGGTCCCAGGATGACTCCCAGATCCCGGAGGCATACAACTCCCAGTCAAGTTAGAATGTCCTTTTTAAAAATTTATTTCAAGAAAAACAATTTTAAATATAATAATGTTACATGCAATAAACATTAATATTGCAAGAAAAACTATTTTAAATATAATTTAATATACAATAAACATTAATTTTTCAAGAAAAAAGATTTTAAATATAATATTACCCAAACTGTACTAACATAGTATATCACAAAAGTTGTAGGATATATTAAAAATATAATGTCCTTTAACCAACACATGGCAATCATGGTTAACAGGTCATGATTAATAGCTCCCTTAACCATACCTAGCCCCCGATATTCTATTCTCGTCCCTAACAATTTCTGAGAGCCCTAAAGACTTGGCTGTATGGAAAAGACACACTGATCTAAGGAGGCCTCATCCTCCATCCACTTCCCTTTGGAACAGCAAAACAGGTCTAACTGTAGGATAGTATTAAACTTAATGGTGCCATGAAGTGGCCAAGTCTTTCCATTGCCCATTTCATAGTGAGGCTAGGTTATGTTGCAAAAGAACCTCAAGGGACTCAGGGTCAAATTTCTCCCAGTTGGCAAATATGCATCCTAAAAGGTACCTCCAGGCACTGTGGATTGGTTCCCCATCTACAAGAGATAAATATGTTCCAAGCCAAGAGTTAGAGGTGTCAGTGCTAGCCTGGGCTGTTTTGGGCCATCCTGCAGGCACCTGGCACCCCAATCCTGTAGGACCCAGCTCCCCAATCCTGCAGGCACCACTCTACAATTGCCCTTTGCCAGGGAACCAGTGCTTTCCGTCCTGGTGACCTTCTGCACCTGGCCCATTCTCCTCTCTCTGCTTATGGCTGGCTAAATGCCGACCACACTTATTCTATTGTACAGGGAACCTTTAGAATCACCTAGTTCCTTTTTTTTTTCCATTGCTAGTCAACTCCAGAGTTAAGCCTGTGCGTAAACAATTAATCTAAGAAGACTATTTAATCCTAGCCTGGGATCATCAATAATCTTGATGTTAAAATTTTACTTTCGTTCGCACACGTTAAAGGACAACAAAAGGGCTTGTTAGAGACCAAAACATGGAAAGGTCACTTGAAACAGAATTCAAAGTCATTGCTCCCAGCCTCTCCTTTGGGGTAGTTAACGGTTCCGGTTCGAAAAAATCCCGGTCCCTCTTACATGGCTGGGTGGTGTCGGGCAGCTAAGCACAGGGAGACCCTGGGCCAGACCCAGGCCCCGTCTGCCCAGGCGACGAGTTGCGAGGTGGGGGCGGG